CTGACTCATTCTAATACTATCTGTACAGTGCGACCGTAAAGTAAGTAATAAATTCAATAATTATTCTTCCAAGCATTTTTTTAAAAAATCCTCGAACACGTCAATTTTATTTTTTGTCAAGCATTTTTTTAAAAATAAAATTATTATACAGGGTGCTCGCAGAAAAGTTGGACAAGTCAATTTTCAACTGTCAATATTTCCGAAACAGTTGAAGATAGGTATAGGACATGTTTCATGAAAAACACTTAGAATTTTATCAAAAATCCGAAAATGTAAAAAAAGTTAGGGGTGTCCATTTAAAAAAATTAAGTAATACTACCTGTCCAGCTTTTCTGCGACCACCTTGTATAATAATTTTATTTTATAAAAAACTAGCGGCCCGCTCCGGCTTCGCAGGGGTATAAAATATACAGGGTGTCCCAAAAAGATACCGACAAACTTTCAGGAGTTGTAGGGGACATCAAAAGAAGCATTTTTGTTTATATAAACATATGTCCGCAAATGAGCCATTTGGGCTGTAGAGCAAAAAAACTGTTCGGTATCTAGTTTTATTCTTCGCAATAATTGAATCACTGTTTACTTATTGATTTTGCTTTAATAGCAAATAAATTATGGTTTACAATAATTGTTCAACTCGCGAACTCTTTGGAATATTCCGGGAATAGCTTCTACATGGGTACAACCCGCCAGTATCCTTGCTATCAGATCTTCCTCATTACGAACAGGTGTTTCGTAGACTAAACTTTTCAGTCAATGACCCGACGGTGTAATCTTTGCATTGAAGTAAATGGTCAACATTTTGAACAATTATTGTAAATGATAATTTATTTGATAAAGCAAAATTAATAAGTTAACAGTGATTTAATTATTGCGAAGAATGAAAGTATCAAACAGTTTTTTTGCTCTACAGCCCAAATGGCTCATTTGCGGACATATGTTTATATAAACAAAAATGCTTGTTTTGATGTCCCCTACTACCCCTTAAAGTTTGTCGGTATCTTTTTGGGACACCCTGTATAGCCTATGTCACTCACTGAAAAAATGATTAAAATCGATCCAGTAGTTTTGATTTATTCATTACTGCCCGTGACCCGCACGCGTTAAATTTGGAGTAAAATAATTCCCCTTTCCCTATACATACAATGAAGATTTCCTGCTATCTTTGGAATATCTAAATTCATACACTACATTTTTACTTATTTACTTTTTACATTTTTACCGCTATTTATTTTATTTTTACAACAATTAATATATTACAGAATCAACAACGTATTTAAGGTATTTAATTGGATAAGGATTAATGCTGTATCGGTTAAAATCGCTTCCTGCAGTTTACAATGTAAGCGGAAGAAATGTAATTATTTACGACATCACATTGGAAACCTCAAAAATAACAGTATTTCTCCACTATTTAATGGATGTTATTATACATATAAACCTTCCTCTTCAATCACTCTATCTATTAAAAAAAACCGCATCAAAATCCGTTGCGTAGTTTTAAAGATTTAAGCATACATAGGGATATAGGGACAGAGAAAGCGACTTTGTTTTATACTATGTAGTGATGCTCCACAAAAAATAAAATTGACGTATTCGAGGATTTTTAAAAAAATTGCTTGGAAGAATAATTATAGAATTTATTCCTTACTTTACGCCCGCACTGTATACTTTTTTCCGAAAAAAAAACGTTTATTTTTGAAAAAAAAATAAAATTTTAAAAATCGAATTTTTAAACTGGCACGAAAACGCGAAACGGTTTTGTGACGTCACGAACCAGAAAATCAACAAAAATGCGAGGATACCAAATTTCTCATTAGTAAATCATTACACATTTCACTAGCTAGGAACTAGTTTCGTCCTTCACTACATTATAAAAAAATTAAGGATAGGTATAATCAATAGGTCTGTTTCTGCAGAAATCACAAACCAGTCAGAGTGAATTTCATTGGTTAAAACTAGTTTTCTGACTGTTTTCAACCAATGGTTGGACTGGTTTGTGATTTCTGCAGAAACAGACCTGTTATAAACTCATTTAAATTTCGCATTTCTAAATGTGGCAACATGGACGTCAAAATCGGCTTTAGCCTTATGCCTCATTCTCAGTTGCGCGAATTTCGCTCTTTTTGCGCAAAATTCGCTCTTTTTTTGACAGCTTCAACAATTTGACTTTTAATGCGTGTATCAAACGTCAAATTGTCGAAGCAATGTCAAAAAAGAGCGAATTGCGCCCAAGTGAGAATTAAGCTTTAGGCTTTAGCCAATCAGAGGGCGTTTTTAATCACGTGATTTTTTGTTTACATTTTCAATTTTTATTTATTAATTTATTTAATAATCTGACTAAAATCTTGCAAAATATTGTTCATTCTCGGTTGCATACCATAATTGGCCATATTCCCAGCACGTGAAAGTCGCCCATTCTGCTGACTATGTATTGGGAAGGTTGATGACAAAATTTGCCATATTTTTTTATACTCTTTTGGATTTCAATTTTTGTTTTGGCTGATTGAAAATATTAATAGGTGTTGAAAAACTATTAATAGCGAATTCTATTGGAAGGGTTAGTGCGCAATGAGTGTATTCGTGTCTTTTTCTACCAGCGTGTTTAAGAAAGAGATAAAAGTAAATTTTCTTGGAATCAATAAGTTTATTAAATTTAAATCCCATAATTGTATATTGGAATGTTTTTTAGTTTTTATTACATCGCACCTCTAGAGAAACAAGGTCATAAGTGCAAATTTGTAAAATTTCGAGGAAACGCTTTTGAAGTTTCCAGAGCTTCTGCAGCTCAAAATGAAAACAATAAACTATACATTTTCTGGCGAATTCAATTTTTATGAAGATTCTGTAATATGTAGGTATAGCTCACCTTCAGTTTGTTTTTTGAATTCATTTTACAATTTTGCCCTATTTAAAAGTTTTTAAGGCAGAGCCTCTACAATTATGTCATGGTTGCCCTATGGGCAAGCTATTTTTTTCAATTATGTGAATTAATTAATTAATGACATAAAATGCATTTGCGTCTTTGTTGGTCCATTCACATCGCAGGTTTAATAAGGAAACCCGATACAAAATACATTTTTGTCGTAGTTGCTTTGGAATGAATTACAAATTTATTTGTCATATTTACGTTTGTGCGCACAAGTGAAAAATCGGTCATTGTTTGCTCTAGGAGCTAACATTATTCGCGCCATTTCCACAAAGACTAGGGATGTCAAATTTTTATTAAAACACCGGTTTTTCATCCATTAACCGGTTAATTTAGTAACAGTTTTAACTGCCCGGTTATAACTGATATAAAACACCGGTTATTCCGATTAACTGGTTGTTCGGTTATTTTTCCGAATTCTACCAGAATAGTTGCATAATTTATACTATGATGTAGCATAAGTTAAATAATAACATATTTTTATTGTAAAAAAAATCGGAAACTATTACATGTTAGGAAAAAGCATCAAAGAATAGGTACCTACACTTTTCTAAACTAATCACCTATATCTCTTTTGTCATGTTAAACATGTACCCATTGACATGTAGTGTACCTTAACCTACATGTACAAGTTTTTTTCATTCATTAGGGAAAGATAGAAAAGAACCAGCTGCTGAATGAATTAACCGAAGCTGAAATGAAATACTAGAGATGGGTACTACTATCGGTTAAAAACTGTGGAAATATTCTACTCTCTATTGTCGCTGATTCGATATCTTACAATTTATTTAACAAGACGAGAGAAAAGTCTACTTGTTTCACTTTCACCGGTTATTAGGTACAAAACCCGGTTATCCGGTTATAACTGGAAGCAAATAACAACTGGTTTTAATCGGTTAACCGAAGAGAAAACACCGGTTTTTCGGTTTTAACCACCGGTTATTGACATCCCTAACAAAGACATATGCACTATCTAGAGGCAGAATTTCAAAATACAAATCTGTCTTTGTAGCTATAAATGGTCTTAGGGTATTGGAATATTTTGACAATATAATTTCATTTTTAGAAAAATTTGCACTTATGACATTGTTTCTCCGGAGGTGCGACATTATGGATCGTAAATTATATATAATGTCATACTGATATTTTTGTTTATTGCAGAGGCTGTTTTGGCAAATCCATTATTTAGGTAAGGCTGAAATCCACATTATCGAGAGCACCATCGAACCACTAAAAGTTTTTTGTCAGACAGTCGCTTGTTATACATATAAATTATGATTTAATAACTTTTCTGCTTTTTTTTGACAAGCAAAATAAAAGCATAATTTCCCCCTAGAGTACAACCAAGTCATCATTAGCCCAATAACTAGTAAACTTTGACAATTTTAAAAGTAGCCATTATTATTTTTGCAATGACTGTGAAAGTTTGATGAGCCAATCAGCTAAGATTTGCATCCAGTGGGAAAATTTTCGAAGCCGCAGGATATTCAACGAAATTTTTGATGATGTAAAATTGGAAGGAAACGAATGCAGGGAAATTTCATTTGAGCATTACCTATCAATGTTACTAGTTTTTGGTTAGAAGAATTAAGTTGTAACACAAAGCCGCTTTTCGCTCGTAAGCCACACATGATTTTTTCTACAATCGCATTTTATAAAAAATAATTGAATGAAGCCAGTTTATTTCTGTCCAGTTCTAACAAGTTTTTTTTTTATAAATCTAAATATTTAGTGAGTAATAACAGTAGGTATTTCAGATTAGAATGAGAAATTTCCCACTAGTTCCATTTCAATGTGGTTTACCTACATTATTATGTTTTACTCAATCTTTCATTACTGTGAAGATAGTAGCTCTGTTCTCACAGAAATCACAAACCAGCCAGAGCGAATTTCATTGGTTGAAAATAGTCAGAAAACTAGTTGTTAGCGATGTGCACCAATCAAAAACGTTCTGACTGGTTTGTGATTTCTGTGAGAACAGACCTAATATCTTATAATTGGATACGTGTTCGGTTGATGAGAACTATAAGGTAATAATCATATAAACAAGCAAAGGTTTAATAAAACGGCAAAATGATAAATTAAATAAATTTATTTTATAGAGATCCAAATTAACATTTTTCCTGTAATAAATAAGAGATTATTTAGCAATGTTAACACATTAAAAAACATTATTTCACAATTAATACTGAAAAACTACTCTATATACCTACATCACAGTTAGCATTTTTCAGAGCAAGTTCACTCAGCATCAAATTTGTGCGTGTGTGAATAAAAGCTCAGTCAAACTGATTTATTTATAAGTAACTAAATATATACATAGGTACACCAAATTGAAAACAAAAAAAAAAAAATTCTTTCGAAAAAACTCAAAATTAAAGCGTTGAAACATCACATACAAACATGCTTAGGCTTAGGCTTTTTTAGGTATTAGGTATTTTTTAAATACAGAAATATTGTCAAAATTACTACACTCAAAAATTTAAACCCCATCTACAAACAATTAAAATAAATTTTGATAATTCAAAATTACTCAATCTACTTTAAACAAAAACATCACATACAAATTAATATTTATTTATGAAAATATTTTTTGGCTTTATACTGACTCATAAATAGTGGATATACAGAGTGCATAAATAATAACGAAAGGGACTAGAATATTTTGATTATTCTTCTCATCTGATTTTTATTGTCTAACCATGAATAGAAAAGTTTTAACAACCAAAAATTTATTATATTTGATACTGTCCATCTCTACAATGTCACATTTTAACGGGTTGTAACTCAAAAACGAGAAAAGATGTTGAAATGCGGTTTTCACTGAACTTCTTCTTACATTTGCTTCAAGTTTTTGTTCACATTGTTGGCAAGTCTCAACTTTTTTTTTCAGAAAAAAACATCTTTTTCAAATGTAGGTATTCCCTAATATTTATTTTAAAGCCTGATCCTTCCCCTAGTATAATTTAGTTTCTCAGAATATTTCTCCTGTCACAGTCACATTCTGATAGGTAAATCAACAAAATTACAGAAGAAATATTCTGAATATATGTAACAAACCATACATTTTTATTATGTGGAAGGTTCAGGCTAGAATGAGCTTAGAGACACAGGAAGTTCCATTCGAAATGTGCCCTTGATCTGCATTCAAAAAAGATCTATTTTTGTTCAATGATTAAAAAAAAAAAATTGAGACTTGGCAACAGCGTAAGAAAACCTAGAAAGTTCAGAAAAACCTTTCTTGTTTTTGAGTTATAAGCTGTTGATATGCGATACTTCATAGACGAACCCTGTATAAACAAATGTCCTTAAACTGATTAGATTTGAACACCTATACTAAGGTACAAATAATGATCTATTTTGTACTTCAGAGTTTGTGATCTAGTCAACAATGTCTTCTTACTCATTCAAACAGTCAGGTTTGGATTAAATTAAACTTGTGCTCCATGCCTAATCAGAGCTATCATAGGCAGCTTCTTTTTAAAATATTGACTTTTTTTTTTTGTTTTTTGCTTATTTTGTTTATTTCTTTTTACTGATTATACAGTCCCAGAGCCCATTCAAAAACCTACACACCTAAGCAAGAAAAAAAAAACGATTTTTAGTCATGGACATTTTTCAGGGGAAATACTTGAGTGATTTCCCCGATTCCCCTTCCAGCACCATTCCGAAAGAGTATTCTCTGACCTACAGTCACATATTCAGGTTGATTTTTGAATTTTAACATAACTGAATCCTGTTCATTTGTATGGATACATTTAGAAGAAAAAATAGCCATAACTATTACTGTTTGCCTAATATTTCCAATATGCACTGTAGTCTGAAATCCAGGATAGATTGCTGTTTCATGAAAGAGAACCGATATGCTTGCTTGAAAAAAAAGTGAACCAGATGGCTTCTCTTCTCGTGAAACTAATACCATACCATTACGAAGGTTTGGGATGTAAATATTCAAGCAAATTGCTGCACTTTGGCCTGCTCGAACCATCCTGCAAGGAACCCTATTCCTATGTATAGATTTTACACTGACCTCTTGAAAAGACCCATCTTTCATTGGTCCGATACGCATCAAAGTACCTTCTGTTACGACACCTTTAGTTAATAGACCGCCTAGGATTTGGCCTACGTGTCCAGCTCGGAAATTTTCGTCGATATAGAACTCTGGGGGTTCCTAAAGAAAAAAATATTATATTTTGTTTGGAGATAGTCTGTTACTATTTGGACATCAACGTGATCCCAAGATTTCTACATAAAAACATATTGTGTGTGACTAGCCAAAATGGCACATCATTTTTAAATTTTTCAAAAATGATATTGTGTTACTTTAACTAAATTTAATCTTCCTTTCGGTAGATATCTAGTTTGTAGAGGCCATGAATTCTTATTGTGTTAAAAATATGTAATTATTAACTTTTTTCAGTTTGCAAAGTGTGAAAACTGATTTTTTTTACCATAAGAAGACGCTGTAGAATAAAAATAATTGTCCAGATAAAGCAATTATTATTTTTGTGTTTTCGTGACCAATTGGGGATGAATTAGTCAGAGGTCCTTATTAAAAAAAAAATTAATAAGGTATGCAAAACAAAAAATTGAATGCCACAATTAATGTAGCCACACTTTAAGTTTGTACAGTAGAACTACAATATTCCAGATTAATTGGGACCGAATTACCAGATATCAGATAAATGTATAAATTAGGCAAAAAAGTAGGTACATACAAAAATTACAAAAATTGGTATATGTATACATTATTGTACTGTAATAGATATTAGTTCAATGAGTACAAAACAATAAAAATGTTTTTTAGAGTCCGCTGTGATCCGGATAATTGGCGATTTTGGATAGTTGGAGTCCGGATAATTGTAGTTGTACTGTAGTTAGTTCTACTAAGGCCGGGGTTATCCAATTCCTTAATTCTTAATTTTCTTTCTTAATTCTTAATCCTTAAAAACCCCAATGTTAAATAAATTGAACTTTTTAAGAATTAAGAATTAAGGACAAATATTAAGAATTACGGAATTGGGTAACTCGGGCCTAAGATATATATTATTTCTAATTAAATAGGCCAAAGAAAGATGTTCCCTAAAATTCACCAAAACCTGATATTCTCAAAATTGTTTGTTATGTGAATTTCATAGACCTACATAATTAATATGACACTATTTTATAAAAATTACTTCATCTATTTATGAGAAAACCATTACCTGTTCAAGTCTTTCCTTTTCTTTAGAGCTACTTCCTGGTGGTAAAACATATAAAAATCTGGTGAGTAGCTCTAGTCCCTGTCCAGAAACACTTGAAACGCAAAATATCGGTACCACATTTTCTGTCAGTTGATTAGCCCCTGCAGTTATAACGTCATCAATATTTTCTATAATTAATGGCACTCGCCGACTCCCCACTTGTTTTATAAATGATTCAAGATTTTGTAAAGTATTGGCTGGATCAACTAAGTCAATTTTCGTTATGACAATGAAAAATGGGACGTTTAGAGCAACTGCAATAGCGAGATGCTCGTGGGCCATGCCTACAGCACCTGCTGCACTGGAAATCTGTAAAAAATATTGTTTTTACATAAAATAATTGATACAAGCAAAAAGTTACTCACAACAAGCATAGCATGATGTGGTGAATAGCCAGAAAGCCCTTGAATAGTTGTCCTTAGATATTTTTTATGACCAGCCAAATCCAAAAAAGTTACAAGTTTAGTGGAACTGTCACAAATTTCTTCAGCAGTTATAAGTTCACTTGAGTTGTAGTTAATAGATTGTCCTTCAGAGTTGAATCCCAAAATTTCATGAGAAATAGAGGAGGTGCGGCCACTATGGATTTCGTGTAGGTGACGAAACATATTAAGCCTCGCACGTCCACGACCATTGTCCATAATTCCTTGTGTCAGAACACCCAGTATTGTACTTTTTCCAGCATCTAAAATAATGTTTAGTAACAAATTAAACCTAATTTGGTGTATTTGACAAACCTGCATTGCCAAGAACTGCTACCCTAATTTCTATATTGTTCTGATCATCAGGAATTTTACGGACAAGTACCTCAGCTACACTACGGTTATTGTCTAAAAGTTTTTCCCTCAAAAGAGTTGTTGTGGCACCTAAGTCTAGTGCCATCTGCTTGAGAGATTGCAGACTGGCTGTCATATCATTTGCTGTTAATCCAGTCAATATTCCACTGTCTTCTACTCCAATTTCATAAATGGCTTCACCATTTCCTTCACGTAGACGCCATTTGAGCTAATAAAAATTACTTTATTAGTACACTATTATTATATTCTAGTGGAATTTGAAAAACAATCTATATAGAACACAAATGTTGTACTTATGGCGGTTATGATGCATAAGTATCAAGGTGAGTGAGGGCTGGAACAAATATCGGAAAATGAACTGTGAAAGAATTGGACCTTTGGGCCATCCCAAGGGGTATCCAATAAAAATTATTTATTTTTATAGTGCGGTGGTACATTTTTATTAAAAAAAAAATTGTATAAGTGCCGGTGCCTCTACAGAGAGAGAATTGGGAAACTTTTTCTCCTAATTATACCTATATTTCAGATAAAATATCAAGGGGAACAAAAATTATTACATATTCAGTGAAAAATTAAGAAAAGCTAAGTTTTTATGTACACCTTGATGTAAACTGTAGGAGAAACGGTCTAAGGGAGAAACCTACAAATAATAACTTTAGGCAGAAATAGACTCTAGAAAACATTAGTTCTATATAGGTCAAGTCATGATTCAGCTTTTAAACTCAAAAAACACTAACTTTGAATAATTTTAATAGAAGAATTCTATTATTTACAATGTGCAACATAAAGTATTGAATTTCTGACGCTTTGGCAATACCTTGTTATGAATGTCTTTCTCCGAGGGGCGAATAACTGGTCAAAATCCGTGTACAAGTTGGTCAAAATCCCAGAAAATCCCGCAAGAATTACTTAAAATCCCTAAAAATTTAACAAAATCCCACAAAATCTCTTGAAATCGCATAAAATTCTACAAAATCTCACAAAATTTTATTGAAACCAAAAAAATCCCGCAAGTTCTTATAAAATCCTCAACATTTCTAAAAAATATTTCATTTAAAATTCCCAAAAATCCTTTGGAATCCCAAAAAATCTGGTAAAATGTCTAAGTATCCTTTAGAATCTCTAACAACCTTTCAAAAACCCCTAAAATGCTCCAAAATCATCTGAACTTGAAAATCTAAAAGTAAAATCGTGTGAAGATTTTCAAAATCCTACAAAATCCATAAAGATTCAAATCTGTGTACATTTTTTTAAGAGTTAACTAAACCTTGGAGCAGTTAATTGGTCAAAATCCCAGAAAAACTCATGAGATCTACTTAAAATCTTTGAAAATATATCAAAATCTCACGAAATATCTTAAAATCTTATAAAATCATTGAAATTCCTAAAAAATATTACCTACCTTTAGTATTTCCAAAAATCCTTTGGGATTCCCAAAAATCCGTTAAAATCTCTAAAAACCCTTCAAAATCTCTTAAAATGCTCCAAAATCACCTAAAATCTTAAAAATCTAAAATGCTGTGAAATCGTGGGAAATTTTCAAAATCCTCAAAATCCTACAAAATCAATAAAGATTTAAAATCTGTGTACATATTGTAAGGAGTTAACCACCCCTCGATTTTCTCTGGAGAAATTTAAATTGTATTAAATTATTTTATGGGTGTGTTCATCGTCTGAAGATCTGTAATTATTCTCGTCGTGTTGTAATGCTTTTTATAGACAGTATAGTTTCTAGAAGTGTTCTTAAATGTGCGATTAAATTTTCTTAGTTCTAATACAGTGTGCGCCATAAAGTTGGGTACGTATGGGAAAATTCTTAATTATTCCTTTTTTCAAAAAACTTTTTTTTGGGATCGTTAAGGCACGTTCGATAACCAAAAAATCGATTATAACACATGTCATGTTATTTTTCTGATGACTAGAAGATGTGCAAAAAGGGACATGGGTACAGTTATAGCGACACGACCGGAAGGTATTTTCTAATTTATGACCTTCAAGTATGTGTATTCCGCAAAACATTCGATTCGTTTGATATCAAACTTATGTAGTTTAGTTGAATAAAGCTATTTTTGAAATAAAATTAATATTTTCGATTTTCTATTTAATGGTATGGGTAAAATAAGTAGTTTTATTTATTTTTCTCTGATTTGCTTCAAAATCGGCATGTGGGGTTCTTTTTGGATTCTGAACAACTTTTTCTTATAAAATTTTTTGATATCTTGCCAAATTTACCCGTTTTTCGACATCAATATCAACTTTTTTAAAAATTCCCGCTAAACCGATAATCGCATGACATGTGTCATAATCGATTTTTTGGTTATCGAACATGCCCTAACGATCCCCAAAAAAAGTTTTTTCAAAAAAGGAATAATTAAGAATTTTTTCATATCTACCCAACTTTATGGCGCACACTGTATATGGTTGTATGAGTCCCGGAAAAAAGGTCGAAAACTTAAGATCGAAATACAAAAAGTCGAAAACAAAAGGTCGAAAATACAAAAGATCGAATGAGAAAAGGTCGAATAACAAAAGGTCGAAAATACAAAAGGTCGAAATACAAAAGTGCGAAAATACAAAAGATCGAATGAGAAAAGGTCGAATAACAAAAGGTCGAATAACAAAAGGTCGAATAACAAAAACTCGAATAACAAAAGGTCGAAAATACAAAAGGTCGAAAATACAAAAGATAGAAAATACAAAATGTTGAAAATACAAAAGGTCGAAAATACAAAATGTCGAAAATACAAAATGTCGAAAATACAAAAAGTCGAAATACAAAATGTCGAAAATACAAAAGATCGAAATACAAAAGTACGAATTTTAAAAGGTAGAAATTGAAAAAGGTAGAAATTGAAAAAGGTCGAAAATACAAGTTGTCAAAATTATAAAAAGTCGAAAATACAATATTTTTTTTCTTTCTACTTTCTTTTCCACATACAAACGCCTTGACTAACGCTAACTAACCAAAACTAAACCAAACTAACCAAAACTCTGTACACTTTTGTAATTAACCCAATCTTCGTTTCTGACCCATGCGCTCCTATTTACTTCCCGATCCCGTAAGTTTCAATAGGAAACGTCAGGGAGGACACTTTCAAAAATTAACATATTTTCGATAAAAATTAGTTGATATATCGTTTATAAAGATGGTTTTGTTTCAATTTAGATGCGGATATTGAAGTTTTTTTGCCTTGCTAAAAAATAATAATAAAAACTCCGACCTTCAAATTAGAAGGAGAAAATTACGGGTCCGAGCGAGATAAATTGGAATTTGGATATACAAGACTAGTAAAATGAGAAAGGCTGCTAAATAAAGTGAACTAACACAAACTAACCCAAACTAACCTATAAACTTACCTCCCCAACGCTATAATGCGCAAATCCAACTAACCCAAACTAACCTATAAAGTTACCCCCCCCCCCCCCCCAACGCGATATTTTGTATTTGCGGACCTATTGTTTTCGACTTTTTGTTATTCGACCTTTTCTCATCCGATCTTTTATATTTTCGATCTTTTGTATTTTTGACCTTTTGTATTTTCGACATTTTGTTTTCCCGACCTTTCGTATTTCCGACTTTTTGTTTTTCGACCTTTTGTATTTTCGACTATTTGCTATTCGAGCTTTTGTAATTCGACCTAGTGTATCTTCGACCTTCTGGTTTTCGATCTCTTGTTATTCGACCTTCTTTATTTTCGACCTTTTTCTATTCGACCTTATATATTTTCGACCTTTATTTATTCGACATTTTGTATTTTCAACCTTTTGTATTTTCGACATTTTGCTATTCGATCTTTTGTGACAATTCGACATTTTGTAATTCGACCTTTTTTCGGTACCCCTGGTTGTATAGGTAGACCTATCCAAAAAATCTATTAAAAAAAATGATTAGGTTTAAAAAAACAAGTACTGACTCAATTTGAAAGTAAGATACCTACATACTTGGTTTTTGAGCAGCTTTCTCGAGTTATATAAAGTGATTTTTGATTAAAGAATATTAAAATACTGAATAGTGCTATTCAGAACTCGGAAAAAAAAAACATAGACAATGAACATTTTGGCTACAACCGGAATCAAATACAGCTTTGATGCTGATAACTGTTGGTTTGCGAGTAGCACCACTGAATTCAAGCTTTGAGAGGTAATTTTCAATAGAATATCCAAATACTTTATAGAGTACTACTCAGAACTATAAAAAAACTGAGGAAAAAAACGTATGAAGAATGCACCTGTCAGTCACGTTTCAAGCAATCAAATGCTGCTTTGATGCCAAGGACTTTCGTTATTACAGTAGCACCCCTGAGTTCCAGTTTCAATAGGTGATTGTGATTTTTTATATAACGTATTGAAATACTAACACAGAAATGAACGTTTTGGCTGCAAAGGAAATCAAATGCAGCTTTGATGCTGAGAACTGTTGTTTTTCGAGTAGCACCCCTCAGCTCTAGCTTTGGAAAGTAATTTCTAATAGAAGAATATCAAAATACTATAAAGTGCTCCTTATAAATACGAAAAAAACCTAATGGAAAATGCACGTTTTGGTCACCACAGCAATTGAATGTTTCTTTGATGTCGAGAACTTTCATTTTTCCAGTAGCATCCATGAGTTCTGTCTGTGAAATGTGAGTTTGAATAAAAGAATATCATTTTGGAACGGAAAACTATCGTTTCCACATTAGCACTCCCGAGTTTTAGCTATAGAGTAATTTTTAATAAAATTATATTAAAATACTGAATAGTTCTACAACTAATCAAATCAAATCAAATCAAAATATGCTTTATTGTAAACAGAAAAACTTCTTACGTACAAAGCAGCCACCTAGGCAATATAAAGTAATCAGAATAAAAATCTCGATAAAAATATATAAAAAATAAAATAAAATATAACAAGCATTGAAACAAAAAGCAAAACAAATGTGAGAATAAATGCCAAAAAATTGAAATACATGTACAAATAAAATAACAAACAGACGTAAAAATACAAATAAAAGTAAAAACAAAAATACAATTAAAATATAAGTCATTGTATAAAAGATGCATAAATTATTAAATCATTACAATAAAAATTTAAAAATAAAAGCATTACAATCTAAAAATAAAAACATTACAATAAATAGACTAGGCGAGGTGAAAGAACAATCAAAATACGTGAAACCTTAAGTCACATCATTAAAGAACTTGTTCAAACTATAGTATGCTTTACCCGTC